TACAATAACTTGTAGTATTCATTGGATATCAAGTGACAGCAAGTATTCTCCTTGTTTCACCAAACTGTTGTATTTCTGTTGATTTCAGTAATGCTGTGGTTTGTAAAGTTTTGATTCATCCTCAAATGGCTAATTCTCCCAATCATTTTGCTAGGCTCTTAGGGGACTGTTCCAAGTGATCCAACAATGATAGGTAAAACTGTTTCTTTCATGTTTCACAATATACATTTATAAATACATGTATGTAGGTAAATCAATAAATCAATTAGCAGAGGGGAGAAAAGATGGATTCATGCCTTTTCCAAGGACATTTATGTAAAAGAGAATGCAACAGCATTCAAAATACCCAGTATTTGGACTCAGCTTGCTGATCCCACTTTCCGTTACACTTTGATAGATGTTCCGTTACACATTGATATTTTAATACTGCTCAGTTATTGCTTGCCCTGTTCTGACTGATCCCAAGTACACAGTTCCCTGCCTAGGGATTGAATTCACAATTACTATGTCACTAAATTCATGAAACAATGCTTAATCCACTAGGCTAAAAAAATAAGAACTAGATGGGATATCACTAGACATCCCGTAGATTAAATAATTTCAGTTCAGAATTCCCTGTAGGTTATTTGGATCTGTATACACCTGATGAAGGTCAGACAGTACAACAGCTGAAATATTGTGATCACAGCAACAAAGATGAGGACAATAGTCTGAATGTAAATAGTGTAGATAAGAGCCATTTAGTTACTAACATAAAGACTAGGGACTGACATTTTACAGTGTTTTGAATATACATTAAAGGCAGGTAATGTAAGTTTTGTAAAAATGTATATCTACAGCATTTGAAATGTTAAGTGAAGGAAGTGTAGATAATTCATCCATCTTTCACAGAACCTGAGACAAATGGGTCATTTTAGTATAGATAAGTCTAGAAATATTTCTCCTCTTTTCATACATTATTTATTTTGGGGCTTGTGGAAGGTTGAGGGGTTGAAAATTTTGCCTTTTAACAAATATTCAATTCATCCAAAAGCAAAAGAAGAAAGCAGATAAATTGTAAATCCAAAATTTCTATATTTCAGAAATTGTTGATTTATAAAAATTGTTTTTTTATACACAAAAATATTTCTTAATGACATTATTTTGAACAATTACATTTGGCTCCTACTCATATTATCATGCAGACTATTTGGATTCTGACTGACTACATAATACGTTGACTTTCAATGTATATGTGGACATCATAGTAGATACAAAATGCACATGAATATTTAACAGAAAAATGCTTATCTCAATTTGATTTTTAATCAATATCACTCCATGCAAGGCAGTAAAACCAATAAGACACAAGGAGTTACAATGTGTGGAAGAATTAGGAACAGAAACATTACTAATAAGTGGGAAGAGAATAGAGTAATTTGGAGGACAGTAGATAGCAATTGACATTGCATTTAAATTTTGGCAGATTAATGTTGATGGAATACATGGAGCCAGAAGGAAGATTCACAAATGGGAAGTGCAAGAAAAGAAGCTGTTAGCATAGAACTTACAGCTACATTTAGCCATCTTAACTGTAAATTGATCAGATCTCAATACCAGTTTAGTATTGCGTTTAAATTCATGAAGTTTAGGTACCATAGAAAAGAGCTCATCTGGACAATTACCATGAAAGTATTTATAGAAAAGGTTCAGAGAAGCAAACTTATAGTGGTGGGATTTATATGGATTTTTAAATGTTTTCTTCACAAACACTACAGTTTAATGCCCTCATCATTGTTGTGATAATAACAACAATGATAAGGACATTAGCTTACCTGTAAATAAGATAAATAACGATTTCATCCCAGAAATTCAGACAGAAATTATTTCTCTTTTTTTCCAAACATGAATAAATGTTGCTTTTACATAGGATTATTGAATGTAGATTTGCAGTTAACAGTAGCAAATATTTCATTTTATTTTCTTTGTATTTTTGAAAATATATGCAAGTAAATAATGACATAAAATGAACATTTGGCTTTCAACCTGATTACTAAAAATTCAAATCAATTTTGACATTTATCTGTTAAGCCTTTTGAGTGATTTGAAACTATTTGTTCCAAATGGAAATTTTTTTTCCATTTTGCACTGAATCTTGATTTTCTTATTCAGGAGGCAAGAAGATTATCTTCCCAATGATTTTTATGATTTCAATTTTTTTTTCTTTCTTTTGACAGATTAAGAAATGAAACTACAAAAGAGATGGTTCTCTCTTTCTTAAAAAACCAAAAATCAAACTTAATCCATATACATTTTATTTTTATTATCTATTCTTCTATTTTCTTTTGTCAAGTCTTATCTATTTACCTATCCTGTCTTACTTGGGTGGCATTTCTGAACTTGATCAGGTGGACTGAACTTTTTTGACTGTTCCTTTAAAAGTAAGTTTATTTTGTCTATCCAGGTGACAGAATGCTTATCTGCCAGTTCTTTTCTTTTTCTTTTGAACCAGACACAAGTGACAACCATCTGTGTCACTTTGAAATGGCCACACTTTGCAACAGAAGTATACTGACATCTTTTTGATCAAAGAAATGGGAAGGTCGGCCATCTTATCTGACAAGAAGTTGTATTACGGTATCAAAATTTGTTTCAACTTTTTCTCTATCATTAGTAAATATTTAATGAAAACTACATTTTAATGTGGGAATAATTTTTTTGTGGCTGATCTGAGTGTAAATTTAGAATGATGTTTCTTATTTTGGTGACTGTCGCATTGAAAATGGTAAGTGAATCGGTTTATTTAGAATTGTACAAAGTTTGATCAATCAGAAATGTACCATTTTTCCTTCATTCTAAGCTAAGTGTAAATGAGTTATCTCCCTTCTCCATTTTCTCAACTGAGAAGAATTTTATTTTTTTATCTTCTTTTATGTATTGTGTGCCTATATAGGAATTAAATCCTATATATACTGCCAAAATACTTGTGGAAGTAGCTGAAGGACCTATCACATGTTATTTTTCGACCATTTAGAAAATAACAATAATAACTCCCTTCACCACTCCTGGAAATTCAAGAAAAAGATTTTCGCAAGCCAGTGTGTAATTATTTTCTAACCAATGAAAACCTTGTATTCAAAAAGTTCATGTCTTTATATGAAATTATATTTTGAATCCTCTTATGGATATAAAAATAGAAGCCTACTACTACTTGGGGCTCACAACAATTTCAGAGACCAATTTGATCTACACACAAACACACACATGTACACACACATGCACACACACACGCATACAATGGAAGAGAGACAGCCAGCAGTTGCTGACTAAGGCCTTGTCCACACACACAATAGAAGTAATTAACCATCATCACCTACTAAGCCTTTGTCTATGAACTCACAAACAAATTAAGCTGACGATCATAAAGTAAGTCTGTCCACATATTTCACACTGCAACAAGAACACTTAATTACTTTATAAAGCAAACTTGACTACAACAAAAAAAATGAGCATTTTAATGTCTTGTATATTTTCGAAAAGAATATATGAATGTTATTTCAACTGGTGTTTTGTTTTTACTTTTCTTCCAAAAATAATCTTTTCTATGTATCATTTAAAAGATGTGTTGTTGTTAAATATTTGAAATGCTGACACTCAGCAACAAAAACCTGGTCAGATGGAACATAACACCTATTTGAACTGCTAGGAAAACTCGATCTATCTGAGAAAGATGTTAACATAATTCAGAACATATACTGGGAGCAAACTGTCTGCATACAAAGAGAAAATTAAATGAGTAGCTATACATAAATAGAAATGGGTGTGAGACAAGGATGTGTCTTCTACCAACATTTATTCAACCTCTACAGTGATACTATCCTAAAGAAACTGAAGAACTTACCAGGATTTAGATATGCAGATGACATCAAACTGATGCCTGACTCAGAAAGAAAACTACAAGACCTCCTAGACAAGGTGGTAGAAGAGAGCAAGAAAAAAGGACTAACCATCAACTGCAAAAAAAGAGAAAGTCTGGTCATCAGCAAGAGAAAAAGCCCAAGATGCTAGTTCTGAATTGGAGATATAAACATCAAGCAGGTACAGAATTTCAAATATCTGGGAAGTGTTTTTTAACAGAGGATGGAAAATATGATATTTAGATCTGAATCAACATTGGACTAGGGAAAGAAGCATTCCAAAAGGTAAACAAAGTTCTGAGAAATGGAAAAATTTTATTAGAAACAAAGAAAATACTATTGGGTTTCTGAGTGTCATCCATCCTTGTGTATGGTAGTGAATGTTGAACAGTCTCCCCATGGTTGAGAAAAAAACTAGAGGCTGCAGTAATGTGCTTCTATAGTAGGATACGGAAAATTCCATGGATGGAGTGAGTCAGCAACAAGGAATTCTTAAAGAAAATGGCAACAGAAAGAACACTTCTATGCAGAATCAAGAAAAGACAGCTGAAATTCCTTGAACACATAATGAGGAAGCAGATATGGATTCATACCTGTAGGGAAAAGTTTGTAAACTTTTCATTTCTCCTGGCTTGTAGTCAATTCCTGCAATCCGTCTCCTGTAGTCAAATATTCCACTGACCGCACCATGTGTCTCCTGTTCAATACTGCAGTAACCTGTCACCTTGTTATGCTCTTTTTTATCTCCTTACTGACAGCTAAAATTTACATATGTGAAAAGATAATCTTGCGAGAGAGCATCTGACTGCAGGATCTATCTGTTTTAAATGTGTGAGCTGTGAAGCCGCCATTTTTCCTTTTTGGACAGTTTACCTATGAGACCCATTTGAATCCACCCGTGTCCTAGAGGTAAGCCATTTTCTCTAGCATTACATTGATTGTTGCAACTTTGGGCCTCTTTGACCTCTGCAGTAGTTCACTACAATACGTTTCCCAAGAGTATTTGTGCATAAACGAATGTAATAAACCCAAATGGGATTCAAACTTGGCTCTCTGATTTCTTATTCTGAGCCATTATCAATTATACTATTCGCACATCTGAGTTTACATCACCTGGTATTTCCAAGAGGTCTCACATCTAGGTACTGACCAGGTTCAAGATTGCTTAACTTCAATGATTGGATGAGAAGCGGTGTTTCAATGTGATATGGCTATAAGCAGTCAGGCCTTAGAAAAAGGGCATTTTATAGAAACTCTATGGTGTACCATTCACTGAAGTGTTTCCTTTCTTTTTTCTGTATCTTCTTCCCTACTGAAAAAACTGGCATTAAAAATTCTAATCCCATTTTTTTCCCCCACATTTTTGTAGTTTATCTTTCTTTTTCTTTTCTTTCTCTTTTGTTTACTTTTTTCTTTTTTTCTTTGTTTTTGATAATCCTCAAGTAAAATTTGGTAATAAATCAAACAAACTATTCTTACTGTTACCATTCTGAAACTGATTTCTTATTCTTTATTTTCTTTAAAAATTTTTACAATTTAATAATTATAAAAAATACCAAAATTGTTTTGGTAATTCCAATTTTTTAAATCATCATCTTTTCTGTGGAGAAGGAAAATACCATCTTTTCTTTCCTGGTAACAGGATTGGCAATATATTTTTTTAATACCATGTTGCATCTCAGTAGCTTTATTGCCTTGCTTGGGGGGAAGTGATTAAAAAAAATATATCCCTTCTGTATGTACACAATTGTTGAATTTCCACAGATTAATTTCTGAGAATTGCCATGTAAGTGAGTGATTTCTTGTTTTCTAATAGATGATTTGAAATTCCAAGTTTTCATTTGCTTAGACTGACTGCCAACCCAAGCTAGAGAACCCAATCTTATTTAATCAATAGCTGTGGAGAGAAGGAATGGATTCATGCCTTTTCTGAAAACATTTGTACTTAGTGAATGCAACAGACTAGACCAGAATTTGAACTCGACTTGGTGATTTCACTTTCCACACTGCTAACTATTCTCATCATCTTGTGGCCTCAGCCGAGATTGAACTCACTACACCTTTCCAGTATTTCTTATCTTCAATACTTTGATTGGTGTAGTTCATAATCTTGTCAAATAACTGAATTCTTCATGCTTTGCTAGGGCTATCATGACACCATCACTAAATGGATTGCCAACCAAGGCTCAGAGAGAATCCATTCACCCTCATCTAAGATCTTTGAAGGGACGAATACAGAGACCTGGTGCACCGAATGCCACAAGGTTCCCAAACGACCCTCTGCAGGTTTTGAATTCAGAGTTGTCCTTCTCCTAGACCAGTTGCCATCCAATGCTATAGAACCCAGTCTGTCCTGCTATTTTACCCATAGCTGGAGGGAGAGGAAGAGGATTCATACCTTTCCCAAGGGTATTAGCATGTAAGTGAATGTAATGGATTCGACTGGAATTTGAACTCGGCTCTCCGATTCATCAATCCAAGCCGCTATCCATTACTCCACCGTGCATCCTCCAACTATTCTACTATGCCATGCAATAGTAAAAGGAAAAGAAGTTGTAGGGAGACATGATCATTTTCTTTCCAAAACGACATAGCAGTATGGAAAAAAACAACTGATCACTTTTTTTCTATTTAATTTGTGACAATTATTCAAAGTCATGAATGTAAAGCGCTTTAATCAGAATTCAAACTCAGTTTGTCAATACCGTTTCCATTCCAGTAATGATTCTGTCATTTTCAGAATTGCTCATGGAAAATAAATAATGAGTTTCTTTCAAGTTCCTTGAAACAGATTTCTTTTTTTTATTTAAAATTAATTGTTTCTTGCTTAGTGTTTAAATTATTTAAAGTTTATGACTGATTATAAAGGACGGTGACTGATTTTTGTAAAAAAATCCCCCCAAAACGAAAACAGTTGACCTGTGTAATTATGGAATACAATGCTTTTCAGGTGAGCAGTCTTCATAAAGTACAATGTTCAATATTAAGAAACAAAAACATTAATATCAAGCAAATAAATTAAAATGTTCATTATCTTATCTTCCCGTCTCAATGTTTCCTTGAGCAGATACTAACTACAAAACTTTGAGTTGGGGAGATAAGTTTTGAACATTTTATCTTATTGGTTAATATATATATATATATATATATATATATATATATAGATAGATAGATAGATAGATAGATAGTGAAAGATGGTCCCTGTATGATTCTCATAATATATAGATTGAATAGGCCGGTTAATGAAATTTGAGGAATAAAAAGGCAAGAAAATGATAACAATATTGGCAATAAGATTAAGGATATTTAGATTTTTGACTAAATTGAAGCATGAAGAGAAAGTTGGAATTTTTGAACATGCATCTGTCTTTTTTCAACAAGATGAGGAATAAACAAAGAAGTGGGACTCACTCTTCTGAGATATGTTGGTGTTGTTGGTTAGAGGACACTATATTCTCTGAGTAAACCCAAATCCATGTTTAATCCTTTGATACAAAGTTTCTCAACCTTATTCTGGTTGTGGCCCCCTTCAATCCAATGTGCGTTTTTTATGCCCCCCCCTCATGCCAACTTGAGTTCTTATCCTCCCTCCTGCCCTGTCCTTTAACTTAATACATCTAGGGAAGTAGGAATATTAAAGGTTGTAGTTTGGATGGCATCAAAACACTACCTCCAGATTTAAATCAAAGAATATTATTTGGATAAATATTTTATTTGAATAAACTCATTTATTTACAAAACAAAAAATACATGTACTATCAGCTCTATCTTGTAGGGTTTCAATGGGATCCCTATGACTGGTGCAGAGCTGCCAAATGTTTGGCTAGAAAGCTATCAGAGAGTGATGTAAATCACCTCTTCTACATCAAGGCAATTTCAAGTCTTTGACAGCAGATGAATCATCCAACTGAAACCAGACTCAGCCAAGTAAGATATGGGAAAAGCAAGTAAGAGTAACTTCACATCTTTCCAGAGTAGTGGGTAATTCTTACGCATGTCTTCATTCATCCACAGCTTCTGGTATCCTCCACACTTGAACCTCGCTTGAGCTGTTGTATTATTTTGAAATTCAATGAAACTTTCTTGTAGGATGATATCAACTTCAAATGCATCAGCAATGAAGGGATTCACAAACCAGTGTGGTACTGTCATTTGGAGTCGATCAAAGAAGTGAGTTTTCATATGATTATGCAACTGCTTCAAATGATCAATATACACTGCTAGGTCATTATCAAGCAGCTCGGTCAATATATTTGCTAAGGAAGGAAACTGTGCAAGCTGCCATCTCCCAAGGTTCAACTAGAACAGCTTTAGTTTCTTTTTAATTGCCTTTTTGCAGAAAAACAGGGTGGAGTCATTTCCTTGGAGGTTTTTGTTCAGGACATTTAGATTTTCAAAATTGAAAGACAAGATGGTGAAAGCATATCTTAATTTAAACTTTAAATTATGAGTTTTAAATTTTAAGAAATTAAAAACTAAAAACGGCCAATTTGTATAAATCTGATGAAAAAATTGCAATAAATAAATATTTATTTTAACAAAAGAGCTTAGATTAATTTAATATTTAACTTAAATAATAAATTTAATATTTTATTTAAAACTATAATTATTAATTACAAAATACTCCAGATATATATTTTGTGGGTCCTAAATTTTCTGTGCTCCCTCATGGCCCTCCATCTTTCAAACTTGGCTTGTGGCTCCTGAAAATATCTCATGGCTCACAAGGGGGTCATATGGCTCACATTGAGAAATTTGCTTTAATATGTTAGTCTATTTTGAAAATGTATTTGAATATATTTTATGAGTACTTTCCCAAGAATGATATTCCATTCATTTTCATGGATATATACATATATATACATAATAAAAATATAGTTTTAATGTATGCTATATTTATGGGTAAAAGTGCTCAATAGAATGTATCTGAATATAAAAGTCTGTTTCATGCTTGAATGTAATCTTCAGGCTTGACTATTGTGTTCAGTTCAAGCATGAATCAGACTATCACCTCTTACTGCTGACCTAAGTACTCACTTTTATAAATATATAAATATATATATATATATATATATATATATATATATATATATATATATATATATATGAATAAAAACAAAAGGAAAACCTATCCTAGCCCAAAACTTATCTTTTGTCTATATTCATAGTCTTTTTACAGGTATACTCTATCTGAAATGTTCACACACACACACACACACACACACACACACACACACACACACATATCTGTCTATCTCTCTCTCTCTCTCTCTATATATATATATATATATATATATATATATATATATATATATATATCCACACTAGTCTGGTGAGATTGTGAGGTACTGCTGGATAGCCCTGAGTTAGTGGTAATGATGCTTCAGCTCCCAAAATATGATTGATCTCAGGATCATTTTCTGATGATGGTTTTGTTGGATGCACTGTTGCTATTTTCAAAGTAGTAGTTGTATGAATTTTTTTTATTATATATATATATATATATATATATATATATATAATTACAAAATACATACATAAATTGTTAATACTTTTCCATTGTTGATTTGATTGTTTTGCAAATTTTTTGTACATTTTAAAAATGTAGCATGAAGCCAAAAAACTTTAGTTCATTTACAAGAATCCTATTCTGTGAGTAGGCAAAAAGGTTGTTAATTTTCAGGTTAAGATTAAAAAAAAGTGTTTTTTATTTTATATTTCTTAGTGTCAATAACTTCCATATTATCAGAGTAATTTTATTGAAACAAATTTTGTATATCTTCTATGCAGCAAACAACATCTCATTATGAAAAGTGTTTTTGGGAAAATAATTTTTTTCTTTGTTGCGTTGAATATTTTATTATTGGGTTTTCGAAATACTGTCCACCATGAAAGAAATAAATGAAAATGTTCAAATGCAAGATATTTGTTTCTGTTGAGGCATGTTGCATATTTATAACTTCTTTCTGTGTTTTCTTGGCATTGTTGTGCTCTTCTGCAAATTCTACAGATATAAAATGTCAATCAGATATCAAGGAATTAATGTGTTGTCTTTCAGGTTTTATCCTGTATACATTTAAATGATTGTTTTCTGCAAATGTTCCAGGTTTGGAGTATTTAGAAATTCTATCATTGTCAGTGCATTGAAATGATGGCTATTCTTTACTTCATGTAAATTAGACATAATCTCTGAACTTTGAAAATATATTATTTCAAGTGAATAATCTAGGGAAACAGTAAAAAGCAATGAAATGATTGAAAAATAAAGATGGAAGAAAATATGATAGATAAAGAAAAAGATGGAGATGGGGGAGAAACAAAAGAAAAGAAGGGTGAGGTAAGTAGATGTAGGAGGGAAAATCAGAGGCAGAGAAAGATAAACTGAGGGAAAAAGGAAGATAGAAAGAAGAGTTTAAAACTGAAGAGGAGAGAATAAAGTAAAGAAGAGAAGGAGGAACATATTGAAGACAAATAGAAAGTGAAAAGAGAATGATAGGGAGAGAATGAAAGAGAGGAAAGAATAAAAAAAAAGTCAGAAGAAAGAGAAAGAAAGAATATAAAAGAGAAAGAAAATAACAGTGAGTGAGAATAAAAAGAATTAAAAAAATAGAAAAGGTAGGGGAAAAGTAAAAAGAAATAGAGAGGAAGAGAAAAATGAATATGAGAAGAAGGAAAAAGAAAAAGTGAATAAAAAGAAACTAAAAGAAAATGAGGAGTTGATAAAACACCTGGATATGAGGAAGGAATAAAAAAAATAGAAGAGGGGAAAATAGACGTTGATAAAAAAAGAAGGACAAGGGGAATGAAGAGGAAATATAGAAGTTAGGGTAAAAGTGGGATGAAAGAAAGAAAGAAAGAAAGAAAGAAAAATAAGTAGGAGGAAAGAAGAAAGAAAGGGAAAGAAGAGTAAAGTTAGAAAGAATAAAAATGAGAGGAAAATTAGAGGAAAGTTAGAAATTATATTAAAATTAGGTGGGAGAAAAGAACAAAGAGTATAAGGAAGAGGAGAGAGAAACTATGGTAATAATAGAATGAAAAGAGAAGGAAAAGGAAGAAAGACACAAGGGTAAAAGTGAGAAGCCTAGTTAAGAAGAAACACAATAAGAAGAAAGAAAGGAAAGAAAAAGGAAGTATTGAAGATAGCAAAAGGAATAAAGATAGAAAGAGGCTAAAGAGGAGGGATAGAATTTGAATGCAAGAGTAAGAGGAAGAAAGAAAGAAAGAAAATGTAGGAGGTAAAAGTGTTATGGAGGAAGCAAGAAAGAAGAGAAAAAAGAGAGAAAATTGAAGACAAGAAAGTAATGATAGAATGGGGAAGCAAGTGTTAATGAAGAACCAAATAAAAGAAAAAGTGGGGAAAAAAAAACAAAAATGAGAGAGGAAAAAATAAAATAGAGAGAGAGAAAGAAATAATAAGTAACTAAATAAACAGTAAATGAGACAAAATTGATTAACAAAGCAGTAATTAATAACAATTCTCTTTCCAAGCAAGCAATATCGAAAAAAACATAGCAATTATTTTGCATAAAGGAAAAATAGAATTGTTTAATTAAAAAGGCATGATCATTTAAAAATGGTCTTATTTTTGAAATTTTATGCAAACAAGATGTGAAATCTTTGCTCCTCCTTGTGACAAAAAACAAAACAAAGCAAGCAAGTAGCTAATTGAATTTAAACCAGATATTTCTTAAAATTTTGAAGATATGGAAGGAAAACCTTTAAATTTTCTATCTTGTTTTCTTCAAAAAGCAAATAGTATGGCAAGGAAATTTTATATATATCAAAAACATCCTTTCTTTTTATGTTTTTATATTTTTATTCCAGATTTCTATTATTCCCTTGTGTTCATTGAAATTATGTCTTGTATAATTCTTACATCTTGGCTTCTGTTGTATTTTTAAAATATTGATAAAATTCATATAAGCTGAAGCAAAGATGAGAATTTTTGTTAATGATAATTTTCATTTTTTTCTTTGATGAAGCAAACATAATAATAATAATGAATTTTAAAATTATGAACAATGAATTGGACACTGATTTTGAAAATGTTGCTGATTTATTCTATAGCCTGCCTTCCGTACTGAAGCACAATGTGTATGTTTACATAGAGGTTATCCATTTAACATAATACGCACATACACTGTACAAAACACACAGAGATAGAGTTTGTTTATCCAATAAAGCACTTTTTGAAATATGCACAAAAGTTATCAAAATATCTTTGTATTGAATATGCACAAGAGTGGGTTACACTGCTGGGTATACAAACAGTTTATGCATCAATATAAAGAAATGTGCATTTATGAGGTTTATATATGAGTACACATATATTAGATATTGATATATTGATGTATATATTCTCAAACATTGAATAGCAATAAAAGAATTATAAGTGATGCATACACACAGATATATATATATATATATCTATCTATAAATGAAATGACCGACTATTACTAGCAGTATTATATATATATATATATATATATATATATATATATATATATGTGTGAGTGTGTGTGTTTATATATATATGTATGTATGTATATATTACATAATTATATATATTTCATTATATATATATGTATATATATATATATATATATATATATATATATATACACACACACACATGCACACACACACACACACAAACATATATATATATATATATATATATATATATATATATAAATCCACTGTTAAAAAAAAATCCTTTTTAAAATTTTTAATGAAATATTGAATCAGTAAAAATACTGCCTCAGTATTGTGCATGTATAGGATTTGCTATATTTATGGTTAAAAGGGCTCAATATCCAGAATAGTGTGTATAAATATAAGAATGGAGGTCACTAAGTTCAACACTGTCTGTTTCATGCTTGAATGCAATTTTTGGGCCTGAAGATTTCATTCAAATATGAAACTGACTATCGCCAGCTACTCAATGTTGATCTCAGTTTCTACTCTAATATATAGAAGAAAATCATATGTAAATTTTTATATACCAGAACGACGACAAGAAAATTAATGGCAAAGTGGAAAAAATTTTTCAATGCATTTCTTCCTTTAGGACTTTATTTTGAAGTGACTACACATACACAGAAAGGAGAGGTGACAATGAAATTTTGAACTTTTAAATTCAATTTTTTTTCAATATGTATTTAGATATATAGTCTATCCAATTTCATTCAATTCTTTTCTTGATTTATGTTTTTATTCCTTTTGTGATTAAGTATCCCACGTTGTGATAATCGATGATCTGCTAAGACGGTAAAATGTTATAAGAAACTGGATGCAAATTTACTGTGGATGACCTATAGATTAATGCACTTTCTATACACTTTCTTCTTGGTAAACTGATTTCTCTTTTAATTAAAGAAGCATTAGTTTTTTTAAATCAAAATTATGGTCAGACTCATTACAGGTTTTTGTTTTGTAAAAAATTCCCTTTTGTGTTCATATAATTTTGAATTTAAATTGCTTGAGGTTTCTCCTTTGTATTCCTTGTGGCAATTACTACAGGTGATGGAGTAAATTCTTCTCTCATGCTTATTATTATTTTGTTTTGTATTAATTTAGTCTATTATTGTTTTAAAAGGAAAAGTAATTTTAACAAATTTTATGTTAAGCTTAGACAAATTCTTTTCAATTGTAGTTGTGATAAAGTTGGTAGGTAGCATAATATATATATATATATATATATATACACACACACACACACACATATATATATATATATATATATATGAAAGTAGAAGTTGAGGTCAACACCAAGTAGTGACAGTCTGTTTCATGCTTGAACACAATCTTCAGGCCAAGACACATGGGCTGAAGATTGTGATCAGGTATGAAATAGACTGTTGTCACTTGGTGCTGATGTCAGGCCACTTTTGTATTTGAGTCAGTTTGTCTGACGATCATAAATAGCGTGAAACCCGAGGTCACAAACTCACATCAATCCAACTAAATATATATATATATATATATATTTAGACTATTAATAATAAATGTACATTTTTTCATGCATGTACTAATCTTCAGGTAAGGATTGAAAAATAACCATTATAAAATTTAAATATTAATATTAATAGATTACTGTTAACACAATGGACTAGTCCATTTAAAAAATAATAATATATGTATGTCTATATATATATATATATATATATATATAAAATTAAAATTAAAAATTAAAATATTGTAAAAAATGTAGCTATTAATTGCAATAACAGATATTTACATGTATCTATATAAATTTAGATACATGTTTTTATTATTACTGTATGAAGATATGGTTGTACATACTTATAGTTATATGTATTGTACGTGTCTGTTTTATGTCTACACTGAATGCATATTTGTAACTTGTGTATAAATGTCATTAAAAGATAAAAGAACAAAGAAGAAAATCAAGATTATATATATATATATATATATATATATATATAAGTTATATTGAACATTATGTATTTACATGTAGGTATGTGCATATGTGTTTATGTTTATGTATATATGTATATGTTTCTATCTGTATCTCTGAGATGAGGTATTATGATTATTTACATTATTTACATATTTGGACTGTTATCCTCATCTTCATTGCCATACTCACACCATTTCAGCAGTTGTATGCTTCGGCCTTCTTCAGGTGATTGGAATTTCAGACCAAACTCTTTATTGTTCTCATCGAGGGGGGGGTTCTAGTTCCACATGCCATGCCTCTTCTGGGTGTCTCAGTTATTTCCCTTTAACTCAACTCTCCAAGTTTTGGTTCGCCACTACTTTAGCCTGGTATTGAACTCACAACACTTTGTGTCTAAATCACTGGATTTAACCAACACCTTTATTTATTGTTGTGAATATGCCAATGAAGACGATGATAACAGTCCAAATAATATAAATAATTTAAGTAATGCATATGTTTATCTAAATATATGTGTGCATTTTTTATGAATTGATAAAAATGTTTGGATGCTTGTTGATATGTGTGTGCTTATATGTTTTTTGTCTGCATGCATTTATATAGATTATATTTTTATTATTTTATATGTACATGTATCTACATAATTCTAGATATATGTTTTTATTATAACTTGTAAGATGATATGATTCTATATATTTATAGATATGTGTATTGTATGTGTTTGTGTTTATGTATACGTTGAATGTATATTAGTAACTTGTATATAAATAGCATTATAAGATAAAAGGAGAAAATTAAGATAATATATATAAATTATGTTTAGTGTTATATATCTACATGCATGTATGTGCATGCTTGTGTGTGTATTTATATGTTTATATGTATATGTTTTTATAAATATGTGTATGTGTGTATATATTTTGTGTGTATATATGTTTAATTATTTATTTAGATCTATTTTTGAATAGATATAATTAATAAGAGTATGTATATGACTAGATAGGTATATATATATATATATATATATATATATATATATATATATATATATATATAAATGTATGTTATTATTTTTTAACTTGGATATGTGTTTATATATTTGCTTATATTTGTTGCATGAAACTTTATGTCGATAATTAAGTATTTATTTATTTTCCAATTCTAATTTTAATTTTATATCTTATTTTTTATTTTATTATTTATTTTTATACTTTATTTTATTTTAATTTATAATTTATAAAATATACTGTCATAATAGTAGGTTATTAATATTAAATTTTACAATGATCAGTTTTCAATCAGCACTTGAAAATTGCTGAGGAAAACCTATACAGTATAAATTTTATCTCTGCTATTTTACATCAAGCACTTTTATTACCACCAGCACTCATTGTGCAATATTTTATACTTATATTCATATATATATATATATATATATATATATATATTGTAACAAGACCTTTTACTGCATGTTTTAAACAGAACTGATATATATATTGTTGTGTCGGAAACCTACCACCCCTCTTGAAGATGAACTTGTCTGCGTCTGTGAACAAAGACTTTAAATAGTGGCATGTCAGTTGACATGGGGGGAAGACAGATAGACAGAGAAGTTCTTAGCTGAGCTAGTTATTGACTACTCAGGTGATTTCTGTACCTTTTTACCAACCTATTAAAACCCTTTTTATTGTTATGTGTTATTTGGCGTTTGTCTCTACTAACCCCAAATCAACATCATAACATATATATATATATATATTGAGAGATGTTTCATTGAATAATTTAGAAAAGTTTTGTCTACTTATTTCCAATTGGATCCTTCCATATTCACAGAAAAGGTTTTTGGTGTCATTATTAAAGGAAAGAGAAAAAATTACTGTGTTGAGACATATTATTTATATGTATTTAATTTAATTAATATTTATACTAATATGTATGGTAATTTTCTCTCTTCCTTTAGTAATGACACGAAAAAGCTTCTCCATGAATATAAAAGGATCCAATTGAAAATAAGTAAACAAAACTTGTCTAACTTATTCAAGGAAACATGTTTCAA